AAGTTCGTCAAAATGGACCACTTTTCTGTTACAACATTTGTCTCCTTTTTTAAATTTTCTAATTCTTAGCTTCATTTCTTTCATCTGATTTGCAATGTAACATAATCGTTTTCGATGGCGCTTTTTGGACTTCAACAAACCGAACTTTCAAAGCAAAAAAATCTTCATAACGTTCTGCCCATCTAGTAGAGTTCAATGTTTTCAATTTCATCGAAGTTGAAGACTCCCTTTCAGATATAAAATTTGATAAGATATTTCATCTTTTGACAGGTACTACGGCCAAAAAAATTATGAATTTGTTGAACTGTTTCAAAAAAATGTCATGTACTTCTGCATCATCAAGTACTAGATTGAAGTTATGAGCAGCAATGTGAACATATACCGCATTAGGTTCCATATCTTTTATGAGTTTTTGAACTCTACCATAAGTGCCACCATCATATATTTGTCCTTGACACTTATTTATATTCAAAAGAATATAAATAATAACGATAAGGATTCTGAACCTAAACTGCACCAAATGAGCATGTGACATGTGACATGTGACAAGTCAGATGCAGGAAGCAGGTGACACTTTCATTGATATATCTCATACTTTCAATATTCTACAGCCTGAATTTTTTTCTGAGAAACTCTATAGTGTCGAATTCAGGGGTACATTAATGAATGGATTTCATAATTGGTAGGTAACAGACTGTTGAAGGAGAGTCGTCAAATATGACTCCAGTTATTAATCAATTCAATATCAAGACACCAATGAAATACCGCCTAATAAATAGGAAACGATCAATCACCTTTCTTTGTAATTCCAGAAGTCGTAAAACTGGCCTTAGTGTTATAACTAATGGCAGATATCTAATTACATGTAAAGATTTATAACCTGTTAAAATTATTACGTGGAACATTAATTCACTTTAATAGCTGATTGCAATTTTTTTGACGTTATAAAATTTACTAAGCAAAAAGGTTTTCTCTTAGGACTCGCTGAAATATTTTTCCAGAACAATCCAATCTGAAATTGATGTTGATCGAGTGAGTAAAGCTAATAATGAAGTCTCGGTTTGGGTAAAGTTTGAGAGCTTATTGGAAAACTTCCATTAGTATTGTGTTTGAAACTAATTTCCATCAATTCGTTGAAGTAAAGATCTTCCATGAAGTTCATTTGGCGCCTGAGTGTGCTGATTACTTTGAATGTGAATATTATTTGAATCAGCACTGCTTGTTTCTCTACTTCAATATTATTGACTTATAAATTATTCTACATTTTCTCAACTCGTGAGATTGAAGTTAGTTACAAATAAAAGTGATATAAAAACATAGGAAGTATAATCTGTAAAAGCAACAAATTTTCTTTACAAATCCACTTTTTTTTTAATTAGATGGGATCCTGTATGCCCTTCTGAAGATTATACCGAAAAAGGATATAAGGTGTTGTTTTTGTCATCAATTTTCATGCTCTCTGACAATCGGATCGATATGTTGTTGATCGCAGTCTCTGCAATACTGCATACCCCTGGGTTTTTCAGAGAATTATCGTCTTTTGGTGTGGTTCAGATATTTTATCTCTTCAATATTCTTCCAATTCTGATGAAAGGCACTGTTACAATCTTTGTCTTGTGGTGAGACCTGTTTTGAATCTGGCGAATGTGTTGTTTTTGTCATCAACCTTTTCACTCAAATATTGTTTTTCCAGCAAATAAACCAAAAAATATACAAATCAAAGATTTCATAGAAATTATCATGTATGTATCAAATTATTTTATATGCCAACCCAATAGTTACGCAACGAAAAATTAGCCAACCAAATCCAACGTTTGCATATTCTATGGGTTTCATACTTTCGATTGATGTGAATTTTGTTCATCGAAGAATTGTTCAAAAAATTTTATGTTTACTTATTCTTTAACATACTTAATTTCATATAAAATACTTTCCATCAATTATACATAAAATTAGTGCGTCTTTCAAATTGTATACATTATTTCATGGAAGATTGATTTTTAAGTTTTACTATCTCCATTCAGGTTTGAAGGCCGTCGTAGTTTGGAACTGTATCCCAACGTTTCGCCAGCAAGAGTGGCTGGCTTCTTCAGAGGTCTATTCATCCTGATGGATCACCGATGACTAGTGATTTCCCTCTCCCATACCCCCCCCCGGGTTGAGTGCCCTAGAGTAAAAACTTCTCCCCACAAAATAAATTTTGTGAGGAAAATTTAATACACCATTCCATCCACCCCGCTCCTCCTGGAGCGGTCATCAATCCAACTGATGGGCACTTCAGCAAGATTGTCATCTGACCTTCTTTGGTCGAATGACAGCCTCCAGGTTCTTTCACTTTCTGATCTGTTAAATTGATTTATCATGACTTTCCTAACTGAATTATTGCATGGGGTCCTCAAAAACTAATCGGAGACGAGTGTCTTTTTAGTCGCGAACGAGTTTTGGTTCTCAGTGAGTCTGGAAAATAGATTATTTGAACTGGTTGAGCCGCCTGACAGCAACTCTCGGGGGTTGTCTTTGGTTCTGCTTCGTTGGCCTCCTGTGTTTTTCCCTCTCTCGGAATCTGTGGTCATCCCTGTTTAGGGCGTTATGTAAGTCACTTAGCGCTGGGTTGCCGTGCGCTCGAATTATGTCGAACGTGTCCTTTGCGTGTTTCCTCATGTATGCGTCCACGTAGTGAATGTTCAGGTCTAGATCCTGGAATATGTACCTATTCGGTACATATCTTGAAGCATTTACGGCGGCCCTTACGCACGCGTTCATAAACGACTGGATATGTTTTCTTTATGTCGCTGGACACTGGCCCCAGGCAGTGCAGGCATACATAATTATCTTTAGTATTACAGTTTTTATCATCAGCAGCTTCACTTTCAGTCCCATGCTGCTTCTCCGATCTGTTATTGGTAATAGGTTTTGTCGGGCAGATCTCGCCATTCCTATTCTCTGCCGTATGTGAGACCTGAACGTCAATCTTTTGTCTAGGTTGACCCCCAAGTATCTAGCTTCGTTGGTCCACGGAATCTCTTGTCCGTTGAAGATGACGTTTCCTTCCGGGAGTACCATCTTCCGGGTGTACCATCTTCCGGGTGAACAGTATTGCCTGACTCTTGTCAGGATTTATACTGATCTTCCACAGGTTGGCCCATTCTTATAATCTATCTGCCTGTTGCTGCAGCAGAGCTGTGTCGTTCGCATAGAGCGCCAATTAGTTAAAGTTGTTTTCCGGCTTGGGCACGTCTGCTGTGTAAACCGAGAAGAGGTTTGGCGAAAGGACTGCATTTTGTGGGACCCAGGCTTCCAGTAATCGCATCGTTGAGAGTTCTTGTCCTACTCCGCAGCGGCATCGCCTGTCAGCTAGAAAAGACTCGATTAGTGTTACCATTGGTTTCGTGTAGCCAAAGTTGATAATTTTGACCAAAAGTCCATCATGCCAGACTCTGTCAAACGCCTTGGAGACGTCTAAGAAAATCGCTGCGGTGTTGGACTAGTGATTTCTAGTTCGTAAGCTGCATTTATGTTGACACAGGTAGTCCGACTCTCTTGTTAATGAATGCATTGCTATTGAAGTGTTATTACCTGGTAATGACGTAACATTGCATTACGCTGTTGCCAGTTCAGCATCTTTCAGTATGGTATTCCAAATCCGGTTAAGCGTTACCGCCTCCTCTTTTCTGTGGTAGTTTTCCGTATGTATACGGATTTCTATGGCTTCCCGTACAAGCCGACTGTGGTATCCACGATCGGAGGCAAGTAGTTTCACATCTTCAAACAGTATCGTATGATCTCCTTCACTAAGTGCTTGTTTCTCTGCTGCCGATTTGTCTATTTGACCTAATCTACAGTTTCTGCGATGATCATTCAGCCTTGTACCCATGGATCTTTTGGTGGTACCGATATAAACTTTTCCGCAGGTGCATGATATACGATATACCCCCGCAGCTAATAGGGACTCTCTTTTGTGTTTCGCAGATCTGAGGCTTTGTTGTATTCTCCTGGTGGGCTTGCTTTCCTGAGATTTTTCCGATTATCTGTCTGTAACCCTAGGGATGTACGGTAGAAATGCACGTGCAACCGTTGTAGTTTCCTCAAGTCAAATAAGGGAGGAAATCTCTGAAAATCTCGGCCGGGAAAGCCTTAACCAATTTATTGATTTTAAGGTTGAAAATTATTAAATTGATGCCATATTAGACATTGAATAATTTCGACAATTTTTATGTGTACTGAAACATTTTCAAGCAATACGAAGAACTATTTCGTTTTATTTCCATTTTATATTTTTTGAATTCACCAGAGCATCTAAGATTCTGAAATTATTGTTTACTTATCAAAACTGCATGTCATCAACCTCCATATAGTATTAATAAGATATAGTTTTTGTAGGTCATATTTAACTGTCGACGATTTACATACTATAACATATTTTTTTGCAAAAACTCACTAATAAAATTCATTTTAATTTTCACCTCAAATATAGTGGATATCAAAATAAATTTTATAGTAAGTTTTTGGCATAGATTTTCATCAAGTATTGATGATTGCAAAGTCAACCTCTAGAGACACTTTTATCATGGACATACATACATAAAGTAAAATTCTGAATGATTTTATTGTTTCATTTTTTCTACGTAATCTGAGATATTCGAAATGACAAAGTAAATTAGATCGAAATAACGAGCCAACACTAGTCACGCTAAAATAATAATCAACAATCACTTTACAAATAAGGCTTTTTCAATTGTGTAGTTGATGTTTGTCGTCATTACCTAATTTGTACTCTAGAGCGACAGACTATTTCACGTTTCCTAATAATTAATGACAATAAACATTAACTGATGTTTTCACCAAAATTGGTGAGGTTCAGTCAGTGTTACCTTCAATATTGAGGCTGTTGAAAATTTTAATTGCTGTTCGGTGGAAAATATGTAATTGTTCAAGAATTATATACAAAAATACGTGATTTAGCCAATACGAAACATTGATGTGTATAATTCCTTTTCTAGGAATTGAAGGAGAGTTTCAATTATGGCCTCTTCTGCCCTCCAGAAAATGGCAGAGCTGGAAAATTTCTGGATGAGGAGAGACGATTGGGCGACTATCCTTTCAATGGTCCAGTGGGCTACTTAGAGGTGAGAAAATTATTTTTATTTATACTCGTTGTCTCAAAAAATTACTAAATAACGAAATTATAAATATTGAAGTGTAATATAGCATTCCCTTACTCAAACTCCCGAGGTAAAATAGTCCTTCAAATCTCAAGTTAGTAGGTCCAAAGTGAGTGGGTTCAGTCGACCCACTACTGCAACTCGCGGTGGATTGCGCAGTTAATTCCATTGCTTGATGAAGCCGATTCTAGTAGGGACCTGATCGATAGTTTGCAATCACCATCTTTATGTAGGTAAACAACACAAATTGTGGCTTGGAAAGTGAGTCTGCTGTCCTCGTATGGCTGCAGGGAACTAATGGCATCTACCAGCCGGGAAACATTCTCGGAATCCTCTCAGGTAATCTGCAACTATCCAGGCGACATGTGCAGTTCTGGAATCGAAACTGTGCATCATCGTCTGATACATCCTCCGTGGTAGCCATCATTGGCATTCAATTTAAGGCGCGAGATTTCCACATCTGAGGACTTAGGATCTTTGGTTACTTCGTGGTCTATAAAGGATCCCACAAGTAGCTAGGGAAAGCTTCAACACGGTTGAGGCTTGCATTACAGTAATATGGTGTTTTACGACAATAAGGCAGAGGTATGCATCATTTCGGCACAGATATGCTCACCTTATGCTGAGGAATCATTTAGAAGTGCGGCCGCTAGTGATACTTCACGAGACAGGGTTATTCTAATGCCCCCACTGCAGGTCGACCTCAGATTGTTACAGAATATCAAATATGTATTTGATAGGAGAGCAAGAACTACATTATATCATGTAGGGATTCATCTAGATCATTCTAAAATATCTCAGAATTTTGTTTGCTACCTCTTTCCCCATTTTGTTATACTGATTTGAAAAAATAAAACAAAAGGAAGACATTGAAGTGAGATCAGTTCAGAAAGAGGTATTTTTATTGAATTTATCAGTGTTTATATTCTTTGGAGTAGGTCAATATTGGTTACCAAATAGTACCAGTAGTAGGAAAAACTAAGAAAAATTTAATATCTTTCACCCTTCACATCATAAACCTCGGATTAGCATTCAGACATCATAACATTCTATTCAACAATAGATTCATTCAAGAATGTTCATAGAAAAGATGGGGTAGAATTTGACTCCGTAAGGAAGTCCGCAAACCACTTGTTTTCCGAATGAAAAGTATTTAAGAAGTGCCCTTGATGCTCACGAATACGCGTGTTAGATAATTTTCTGAAATACTTCTGAGATCCGTTAGTCTGGCATAAAGAATAACTCGTAGAAGTGAAAAAAATCTTCTACAAAACAGAATCAGAAGATTAGCTAGGAAGTATTGGTGAAGGGATGGTGAAAAATTTAGTGCAAGAAAAGGAAGAATGCTATTTTCTCGGCTGATACAGCAAAAAGATTTCTGCCAACATGAATACTATCAGACTTTGATGGTTCCTCATCTTTTTAGGTTTCTTGTTTTGAATAAATTTCAAAGTAAGGATATAGGTAAATATCTAAAATGTACATGATGACAAGTTGGAGCATGAATTAGACATTTCTGTGGTCATCAAAAGGAACATTGGGAAAGAAAGGTTTTGTCTTTCTACTTCTCCATCTTCATACAAAAAAAATGTGGGAATCTTGCAAAGAAAGGAAGGACGCAATCAATTTCAAAAAGGTAACTCTATACGAATATGTGTAGATCATGTAAACTGAAATAAAAAGCTATTAAAATAGCTATTTTCATTCAAACATAGAATTACACGAGAGAAAAATACTTTCCAAACAAATACTTTTATATGAACACTAAGTTATACAAAACACATTTTTCTCTATTCAGTTTGTATTCAAAATATTCATTATGGAATTGAATCAGATATTATTCACAGGATTCCTACACAATATAGTAAAAGGGACAGGTAAAATTTCACTTACGTGGGAACACTGTTATCCTCACTGGTAGACATCCGATGTTTCGCTGTAAGACACTTGATTTATCTGTTCAGTACCAAATCTGAATAACATTATAAGAAAAACTGAATTCATTCATAAAATCACGACTTTATGTCACAAATGAGTATAATCTACTCATGTCATTGATGACAGTACGAAATGACATACATTCGCTTATTTGATTAAATCCCAGCCATAGGAATCTTATTTGAATTGATCATGTTTCAACTGACGCTATTTACGGGATCCAGGTTGAGTTATCGATCCATCATGAAACTTGCATTCTTGTACAAAACTTCCAAATATTTATCCAATAACTGTATACATACTGGATAATGGCACCGCTAGCACTACTTTTTGGGGAAAAGTTGCGAGTGTTAAAATATCCATTCAACTTTGACCTAAAAGGTTCTCTCTTTTGGAAAGGATTGAATCCATTTGACAATTCCAACATGCAAGTGAAAGCACTTTTGGTCATCCAAGAGTTTTCCAAATTCTATGGAAATGATATGCTCCCTGGGCCTTTTTAATTTTATAGTTTCTATAAGGCTCCTGATTTTTTCTCGTAGATAGCTGGCTCTTGCCACCTTAACGGAAAAACAGATTTCAACAATTTTTTTAATAATTTTTAATAATAATGACACACGTTTCACCAACCAAGTTGGCGTCTTCAGGAGATGCAGAAAACTACTACTAGAAATTGAGTCTTCTGAGGAAATTAATTATATTATGTCAACTGATACGTTCTCTTGCTGAAAGCAGTCTAAAGAACGAAAAAAATTGTTGAAAAGAAAAAGATCATTTTCATCAACATGCAAAAGAAGAATTTATTTCTTAAAATTGAAATTCATATATCGAAAATTATCAAAAGTGATTGCTTCGATATTACTAACATCATGTTGGTGACATTAATTATGCAGCTTTGTTCCTCAGTTGGTGTGCCTAGCGAATATTGATTAGCTGAATATATTTCAGTGATTCAAAAATACGCAGTCACTTGTCATATTTTTTCTACGAGAGGCATCAGATCTATGAGAAGGACTAGTAGTTTTATTAACAGTTGTAAATGATGTATGTCTCCGTATGATTATCCAAATTTTATAATTCAATATATATTTTTTCAGCTGAAGTACAAGAGAAGAGTTTACAAAATGATCTCTTTAGATGAAAAACAGTTGAAGAGCTTACATACGAGAGCGAATTTGAGAAGATTTTTGGACTACGTGCAGAATGGTCAAGTGGAGAAAATCACGAAAATATGCGCCAAGGGCTTGGATCCAAATTTTCACTGTCAAGAAACTGGTGGTAAGTATTCAATTTGTAATTGTGTAGAACATCTAACTTTAGCTGTTGAAAACCATCAAGAATGATATACTTCTTGAATAATATGTGCAAGCAGTAGGACGTCAAAATGAAAGATTTCATTTATCGTTAACTCGCATAAGTTTAGACTTGTCTTTCGTGAGCGGGTCACTGTTAGTTATCGGAAAAACATGTTTAAACAGACACATCTTGTTTTCATTTCTATAATAATTTTTTGAACAAAGTTTGTTTTACAATGTTCAAAATGTGTTTTTTGAATGATTATTTTTCAAAAATAATGTTGCGTTTTTCCCCGTGGGTTCACCAATAATTGAATACACTGAATAATCATACTTAACTTTATTTCACTTTGAATACACAAACACACATTTCAATTAGAACTCCAACTATTATTTGAATATCTATCGTCTTACTAGATCACTTCGTGTACCGCACTGTAGCTTCCACTTGACTGTATACTTGACTGACTCGATATTCTAGTGGCTAGCCTTTAAATATCGTAATTGAATGTTGTCGAAGTCGGTAGCATTATTCTCGTTGCTTCTTGATTGGCGTATTCAAAAACACTTCATTGTGAGATTTATTTTACGAAAACGAGTGTTTCACCATACAATGGCTTCACAAACTAATTCTACACATTCAATGCTAAAATATACCTTATTCTACAATTTGAAGTACCTACATTTCAAGTACCCGATTTTTACCTAAGTTTGTAATAAAGTAAATTATCGGAGCTTATGTCTCAGTTTCCATATTTGAAAAAGTATTTAGTAACGGAGGATTATTCAATTCTAATTGATCATTCAGTAAATTACCCAAATTTATGAATCTATGGATTTATAAACATTCTAGAAGGTTGAATTTCAAACTTTTCTTTTCTAAATGTGAAGATATATCCGACACCGAAGTTTTGTCTTTATTGTTTTTAATACATTTTCTTAGATTATTATTCGATCAATACGCTACGTTTACGCATTCTTTCTTAAAAAAACTGTCAATATTATTGTTTGGTCCACCCGAATATGACTGACGTAATTGCATCTTTAATTTGTATGGACCTTATGACCGTTGTTAACCGCGTTTTCTCAAACGGTTTCCAATTATCAGTCCTTGCATGAATAGAATTTTTTGTCAAACTGGAAACAATTTTGAGATAGACAAATAGTAAGTACATCTAAAATTTCCTGTTTTATCAGTGGATTCACGTGGTTTTTGTCTAAGAGACACTCAACTAGTCCAATTGTTTCAATTGGCGAAATACTAGGAAATAAATTTTGGAGAACGATAATTATATTGCGTTATCAGGAAAAATTACGTTTTCAATATTATTCTCTAATTGATAAGAATTATTTATACTGAATTTCGGCTTGAAATTGGTATAGGTTTGAATCAATTTTATCAGGATTTCTGAGATTTTTACGGTAGGTGCCGCTACAAATGACACCACTGGCTAATCGGGAAATTGGTTTTGTGTAATTTAATAAGAAAATAAAGTTTTGGTGATTGTAAATTTATGATCAATGCTCTACATTCATACTTTCCATTCATAACCAAACACGTTTCATTTCACACTATTTTGAAACTCGTCAATCAATTATGTATGGTATAGTAAGCCTGGATTCGGAAATTAAATAGAAAAGTATAAACATATGAATAGAAATTACCTTTAAACATTTATACCAAGTCTCAGGAATTCAAACTAACTTCTAAAATTCTGGGAAAAAATGTTTGCACCACAGACTTCAAAAACGAAATTCTCAGCACCAAGATGAATGTATGTCTCTTTAAATAACAAAACAAATGACTTTTTTAAAAACTTGAGAAATGTTCATCAGATAAAAAAAAATCAATTAAAATATTCAAACCTAGGTTTTCAGATACTAAACGTATAATCTGGATCCCCTGAGTTTTGTACTTTCGCTACCATGGCGCTGGCTTCATATTGTAAATTCCCAATTTCACATGGAACGCTTCAGAATTTAAAAACCTATTTTTTTATTACAATGAAGAATTATAACTCACTGGGAGTGGCAAAAATGTATTTCACAAACAACCGCAATATTGACGGTCCACTCTGTGGAATAATAAATTTGTATATTTATTCTGTCAAAATGATCTTACAATTTCATGATACAACTTCAATTCCATGAAGGAAAAACATTGACTTTTGGACATTACATTCAGCCTTTTAATGAAATTACATTGTGAATCGGTATTAAATCTGAAACACAAAGATACCTCAATATGTTCGAGAACAACGGAAGTAATTTACCCATAATAGATGTGAAAATCTATTGATTTAAATATAACTAGGTGAAGTGTTCATATGACTTTTCACTTGCATGACTATGGCCATTGTCTGTATAATTAGTGAAGATGAGCATTCTTGAATGAATAAAGAATATCACAATGGCAATTGTTTCAATGTTTTAGCACGTCGATGTGAAAAGTTGCTTTTTAACAGTAGCATTTCTGATTTCTAAAAGGTATTTCTGTGAATCAAGATGAAGACCGTTATGGATATATTGATACAATACCTGCTGAATATATCTGATACATATTAATTCTTTTTCAGAATAAATCAAGAATGTCTCTCTCATTCTAAGAATCGAAGTTGAATTCGGATAAAGTTACTGTTGTGGTTTCTAATAAGACGTATCGAAATAAAACCATAAAATTACAGTATTTCAGCTGTATGACCATAATTCCAAAAATGATTTTATTTGCACTAATTCAATAATACAATTCGGAAAGTTTCTTCTGATACAACCTACAACAGTGTATTATACAATGAAATTGCTTTTTCACTTGAGAATACGAATACCTATATGACGAAATTTGATCAACTGTCAGATCTTATCATTATGTTTTTATGCACTTATTTGTTGATAAACTGCAATCTATTGATACTGTATATATGTATGAAATATAACTAACTAAGTAAATAAAGAACATCATTTACCTTGTTGCAAAGTTTCAGAAATAATTCAGTACCTTATCCATATACATTCAAGTATGTAACCATATAATACAAAAGAAAAACAAAGCATTCAATCAGCAAAAAAAATCATTTATTTTCGAACCGCCCTAAATGTCACGATAATTCTTCCAAATGAGCATAAAATATTAAAAAAGATATCTCTAGGCACTTTGAAATCATTTCAATTTCTCATTTGGCATATAAAATATGAAATCTGACACTGAATCTTATTGATAAAGATGGTATACACATCACTCATTGCAAATTTATCAATATAATATTATCATGTTAAAGTTTGTAATGTAACCTAGTTGACAATAAGAGTAGACAGTGTAATAAAATCTAGAAATATATAATAATTTCAAAAAAGTTATTTCTGAGAATCTTTATCTCCGTGGGTAAGCCTTAAACCACCCGAGCAAGGCGATTTCTGAGTCCAGAGGCACTGCAAAACAAGGCTCTGACATTTGGATAGAGTTCACCATCTTGAATGAAAGACCATTAATTCACCTTGAAAACAGTTCAAATGACATCAATGCAGAAACTGCAATAAAAACTAGAAGTATATAATAATGTCAAAAAAGTTAGTTCTGAAAATCTTCATCTCCGTGGGTAAGCCTTAAACCACCCGTGCAAGACGATTTCTGAGTCCAGAGGCACTGCAAATAAAAAGGCTCCAACATTTGGATACAGTTTACCATCTTGAATGAAAGACCAATAAATCACCTTGAAAACAGTTCAAATGACATCAGTGGAAAAAGGTTCACCATTTGAAGAGGTGCAAAATAATGTGTTTTTCTAATTGTCACATTCATTCAAATTACCCTTATAATAAATCTTTATTTCCATCATTCAAAGTATTTGATTATCGAGGTGCATGACTTATAGTCCTTTTCGGAATGAGTTATCGATATTTATTTCTGTTTTTTTTTTCGAAGTAATCAAAGTAAGTTGAAATTTGTCAATTCTAACTTCCGAAATTTTTCTCTCTTTCGAATATTCCACGTGTATGAAATGACGTTTTCGATTATTAAGTCGACTTTTTGTTGATTTTTCATCAAATTCTGGTCAGCAACACTCAATATTATATCATCAGAGATAATATATTAATAGTAATGAAACCATTTTTAACCTAGCAAATCAACGTGCGAAATAGTATTGTGTGATTATCTGGATACTTTAGTTGAAGATAATTTTATAAACTAATAAGTGGATGTCTAGTGTTTTGACAGATTTTATTTTTATTTTCATTTGAAACAACAATTTATTCTATTCACAAGGTTGCTGTCGCAACTCTTCTTCATCATTTTCATCTATAAATAATCTGACACTGGAATTTTCAAAATAATAAGTTCTACACCAGAGGTTCCCAAACTTATTTTGTCTACCGCCCGCTTCAAGAATTAATTATTTTCTAGCGCCCCCCATTTTTTTTACTTTACTACATTTTAAGAATCACAATAGCAGTCATTATTTTAATAATTAAATTATGTGTGTCATGTGAAAATAAGACTTTCTGATGAGGGTAGGTAATGTAAAACACCATTTTGTAATATTAGGAAAACTTTTATTCATGTTATTAAGACAAACATTTCAATTTGAATTTCAAAACTAATCTAATGTGTAGGTAAACTGCAACGGTAAACTGCAACTGATTTCTCTTTTTAGTTAGCAACGTTGCCACAGCACTAAATCCACGTTCACACTAATACGATGATGGGAATGCTATTAAAAATCGTTGAACGATGGACCACAATCCAGGGTACAATTGCGGAATTGACTTTTGAAGCCAAAATTCTTGGTATCCATTTCTGGAATCGTTCTGCGAAATCACTGTGGAGGTTCTACAAATATTGGCAGTAAACAAGCAAGTCGTCGTTGTTGAAGAATACTACTGACAAATTAGGGAAATTGCGAAACTCATGTTTGCCGATATTATTCTTGTATAAGAGCAATTTGGCTACAAAAGCAACAGTGACATTTTTTGTTTTATTCAATTTCAAGTCGTCACGTTGAAAATTAACATCATTAAATAATTTATACAGGTCTGTCAAGTACGCAATATCATTCTTTGAAGTGATGAGGTTGTCGTGCAATTCTTTGTCCTTGTTTTCCAAGAACTCTATTACAGAGTCAAATAGATTGTAAAATCGAGTCCGTTAGTTACCTCTTGATAACCAACGCACTTCTGTATGAAATAGCAATCGGTTGAAATCTTCATCATTAGCAACACAAAGCTGATTAAATAATCTGTCATTTAAAGAGCTCTTTCGGATTTTATTGACTGCTTTGATGATATATTGCAGTGATTGAGAGAGGCGCTCACTCAAATGTTTCGCAACCAAATGTTGCCTATGAATGACGCAATGTACAGCGAGCACATCTGGAATTTTATTTTTCAAGTACGCTATAAAGCCTTCGTGACATCCTGTCATAGCCGGAGCGCCATCCGTAGCAGCTGATATAATATTCTTCAGTGGAACTTCTTTCTCATCACAAAACTTTTCCAGTGTATTATATATGGTTTTTACTTTTGTATCCGTCTCTAAATTTTTGGCAAATAGTAGTTCTTAACATATTTTCTCATTTTTAATAAACCTCACGTTTCACAACAACAATGCTTCATTGGTTGGTAAAGTGGACTCATCTAACCATCTAGCCATCTCATCAATTCATCTTTGCACGGAACTATTGCTCAAAGGAATTTTTCGGATAATATCTGCCGCTAGTTCATGGAGCACAGTAGTTATTACTTCTTTTATTGCCGGTAAAATTAAATCCTCTCCAATAGTGTGAGGTTTACCTGTTCGAGCAATTAGCAAGGAGATATTGTAGGAAGCTCGGAATCCGTCGTCGTCTTGCTTAGAAACCGCTGAAAAAAGTTTTGACACCGTTGGCTGAGCTGAGTGTTTCTTTTCCAGTTCATGAAAATAGGTCACCCTTTTGTCAAAGAAAGCACATAGGCGAAGATGAATAAATCCATAATTTAAATATTCCGCGCCATACTGCCGTTTCTTCTTTTTTGCTTCCGACATAATTTCGTCTTCAAAAATGCCAAGTACAGAATCGAGTATTAAAAACTTGCTAATAACACCACTCACAGTATTCACCACCGCACGTACAGCACCTTACCTAGCTAGTCGCTAACTAAGTTCACTTGTTTTCGTAATATCGTTGAATGACATTACTGGCAGGATGGCGTGCGCGCTTTTATATGGGGAAGCTAGCGGGCCTAGAACTTTCGAGAACGGAGACTAGAAACTTCTCGGTTCGCATTGAAGCTTACCGCCATCTATTGTACAGTTTGGCAACTATCGGACAGGAGATAGCTATTGTCTAGTCTAGATGGCGTTACACGAGAAAACGCGCGTTAAGCGTGAAGAGGCGGTAAAGTTTTTGTTAAAACCAAAAAAACACATTTTAAAATTAGCTATCGTCCCTCTAAACCACTTCAACGCCCCCCAATTTTCGCCCAATTTGCGCCCACAAAGGGGCGTTATCGCCCACTTTGAGAAAGACTATTCCACACGTATATGTTTCGGAATATCTGCAGTCTTGAATGAATATTCTCGATTATTTCTCAGTAGTATTAGTTAATGCTGAGATCAACAAAAAACTCCAACTTTACTTATTCAAGATGAACAAGAGAACGAAATTTAAGCTGTAAAGAAAAAAAACACGATTTCTTGTTCGGAGGTTGATGTCGAAAGTAGGTTTTGCCCCGTGGATACACTTTATTTTTTATACATATCTCGTACACATGGTTTCAGTTTCTGCTTCAGTAGGCTTAGGCGAAAATGAGATAAAGCAGTTATATCAAGTTTGTGCAAAAATAGTTTTCGAATTTGATAATCAGGTTTGTCACTTGCATCTCTTTTTTTTCAGAAACACCTCTGACCATTGCAACTGGTATCAAAAAACCCGCCAAAGTCCTCATGGCGCTTGTTAATGGAGGGGCTCTCCTAGATTACCGAAAAAAGGATGGATCAACAGCTCTCCATCGAGCTGTGGAACACAAAAATTTGGAGGCCCTGAAGACTCTCTTGGAACTCGGCGCGTCGCCAAACTACAAAGATAATAAAGGCCTTACTCCACTATACTACACCATAACGCTCAATGTTGAGGCCACGTTTAGCGAAACTTTACTCCACGACCACGCCACAACGGGATCTCAAGACGCTCAAGGGTGGCAAGAAGTGCATCAGGTTAGTTTTGACAGCAAAGTATCTAATCAGGTACTATTTCTCACAATTTCCTTCTGTTGATATAAGTTTTTCAACCCAAATCTGAATCTGAAAAATTCACAAAAATCACAGTAACCATTTTTCATATTCATCTCTTTCAAAATGTGTCCCACTTCTATAACTACTGTTGAGCATCCTAGAAAATGTTTGAAATAAATCTTTTAATCTGCTAGGGAGGAGTGCCAGCATGAAACCTATTGCAATCGATGATGCATTGCAGTGTTGTGAATGATCAACCCTTATCGTTTTTTTTTCATGGGTAATCTGAAGTAAACTAAAACCTTACAAATTTCCATTTCTTCATCTTCATACAAAATGTGGAAAATTTCCTATGAAGGAAGAAAGCAATAACATTTAAAATATGGTAGAAATCGCTCGTTAAAAGATAGAACCTCGTTAGTCGTTGACTTTTGTTTCGACTTTTCAGGGTTGTCGTTCGTAGGGGGACGACAGCTGAGTAATCGAAAACCAGATTTTAAAACACATGAATAGATGTATTTCATCAGTTCGGACTTCCATTGTCTGATATGATATAAATTGATTTGATAACCCTGAAAAAAATCAAAAATATTAACCGAAAATAAAATTCATAGGAATACTATATAATATAATATATGAAATAGTTGCGATATGAAATTCAACTTACATGGAATACTATCATCCTCAATGGCGTACTTCGAAGTTTCGGTATGAGACACCTGTTTTATAAGCTCATCAGCACTACTTTTTTGGACAATATTCCAATACAGTCCAAAATGAACACTTTTCAAAGTAATAACTTCTCATAGGAGGGTAAACCGCTTGGTAACGTAACGCATAACTGCGCCAGTATGTCTGGCTTCCTTTTCTCCTCACTCTAACACACAGCTCCAGCCGTATCTTGGACAAACGATTATCTCGCCTCTCTTCGCATGACTCAGTGTTCAGTGTGCGGTCGACATATACTGTTGACAGATAACGTAAAACTATCGCCTCTTTTGAAAGTGATTATAAAAAATTTGATGAAACAAACAGAAGATCCTCGGAACATTAAAGAATCTCCTTGTTTTATTATCATTTCTGTCGGACGTCCCGAGACGCACACGTTTTTTTACTGTAGTATTTATCTCAAAAAATGGTTAGTTTTCAAGCTATGAGCGATTTCAGATCAACGATGACTAATATCCATTTGTCGTAAATTTTTCAAAAAACTTCATGTTCAATATTTTTGTTTCGAATTATACTCATCATTGTCGTTAAAATTGTATTTTAAATAATGAAAATAGTATAACAAATGGTGATCTTCTGTAACTTCTAAAATTCAGCTGTTATTACGGGTGATGAATTGAGTTTTCTCGTTATACCATGTATGGTTGAAATCCTGTATTAAAATTACAAAAAATCACAGTAGTATTTTTTGTAACTGTCTTTTTAATGCAAATTTGGAAAACGAAAACTACCTCTTGGAGTTTTTAAATCTCATAAAATGAAACACATAGAACCTCAGACACGTATACTTTGATTAGAAAATATATAGCTTTTTCACTTATCTTCAGTAAAATTTGAAGTGAAGTACCTACTCATGAGTGAACGGAATTCGGTGAATTTGCATTAGTTGTCCATGTAAAAAGAGTGGGTCCTTCTAATGAGACGGTCTACCGAATTGATCACTTCAAAATCAATAAGATTAGTTATACGAGATACGAGGGGTAGGTACTATTTATATTTCGAGAATAGCAAATAACAAAAATTTTTTAATGAAAATTACTTTATTGTATTTTGAAATATTTCTCCTCGATGATGAATATACTTTTACATTCGTTCAAACCATTTATCAAAGCAGTTTTTCCATTCTTCTTGAGACACCTCCAAAACATGGTTTTTGAGCGCTTCAACTGCTTCTTCGGTGCTCGTAAATCGTTGACCACGCGGTTCACCTTTGATATTCGGGAACAAGAAGGAGTCATTGGATGTCAAATCAGGACTGTACGGAGGAGTTATGATGGAGAGTGATTCGTCTTCGGCGGTTAGTTTCACAAATTTCTCCAAAGACTTCCTACAAACAAATGGTCGTTTACCACTCAGAATTGACCGTTCTATGTTGCTCAAGCGGAACAGTGGCGACATGACCCATTCGGCCGAAAACACAGGCGACCATTTGCGTAACTGTGCTTTTTTCACGAACAACTTTTGTTGGATTTAGCTCAGGGAATACCCACACGGTCGATTACTATTTTATTTCCGGCTCATATGCATATATCCATTCGTCACCTGTCACGATTTTATACACGTCTTTTGAAACACCACGGTCGTACTATTTAATCATTTCCTTACACCTCTTGACGTGAGCCTTTTTTTGAGCGATTGATAAATTATGGGGTATCTAACAAGAACATTTTGTTGATAACTAAATGTTCATGCAAAATCGAATGTTTTGAAGTGGAACTAATGTGCAAGGATGCCTCTATCTCACAATATGACACATGACGATGTGTATCGATGTTTTGTGGCACAACAACCGATTTAGGACGACCTTCACGGAATTCGTCGGCGACCGAACTACGACCACGATTGAATTCACTATACCAGCGATATACTGTGGTTTTTAAAGGTTTTTAAAGATAATCCACGTCGAAAGTTGTGAAAAATAATCCAACGAAAACCTTCTCTTGAAATTCCTATTCTGTGGTCATACTGATTTTCTTAACTCATTGTAAACAAAACATATAGCACCACTTGTACAGCAAAACGTTGTGAGTACGTCTATGCTAAAAAAATATCAAACTTTATGATGGTGTTGCCACATTTCACCTATTGACATTAGTGTTGCCAGTTCCCAAAATATAAATTGTCCCCCATCGTAGAGAAACTTGTAGAGGGAAAAACGTTGTAAGAGGACGATTGTAAAGATTTGCCTCTGGCGGCCAGTGACTGTTGAATAAATTAGTTTCAGAATGGAAGAAATGATGAATCATTCTGGAGTTGTTAACGATGAAGCAGAAACTTCGCCCCGGTTTTTGCCAGTGCCTTGTTTAGTTCATGATCTGACAGCGATATAAAGCAAAGTCAGCAAATGAAATAGTTGGGGGATATTGCAGTACAAGTATTTTCCAAGTTGTGATTTTACTACTGTGTTCAAAGAATAGGTAGGCGTAATAG